GTATGGTTGTTTGTGGTCTTGCTGACTCCCGCGGCTGGGGTGGTGTTGTGGCTGCTGCAGAAGACGTGGTCGATCATCTCAAAGGAGCGTGAGATGAAGTTTTCCTCTGCCTTCTTCTGCAGCCTCAGTATCCTTCTGGGAGATCAGTCTCCGTCCGGTCCTTCACACGTCACGGCTCGAGTGAGTTTTCATTTCAGACGATTCGCACTGTGAAAATGCGAGGAGGTACCCGAACTGTACTGTGGCATTCTCATTTTTTCTCATTCGTCTGCAGGTTTCCTTTATAATGCATGCCTTTATTGGTCGTCTAAATGCATTCTCTGTTTATCTAGATACCCGTTTTTACATAGTAACTTCCTTCTAATCTTACTATCAGTGAATATTTATCTGATAAATATATGTGCACGTAACACCTATAAAAACACAACCTGTATTACGATAAGCTATAACAGATTACACTTACAAATGTATCTGTAACTTATAATATACGATGTCGATACCATCTTCTTGTAAAAATCCACCCGTCCTCCAGGTCCTTCTAGGGAGCTGGATGTTGAACTGCATGATCATAACGGCGGCCTATCGGTCCTCTCTCATCGCCCATTTGACCGTCCAGAAGAAGTTCCCTCCTATAAACACTTTCGAAGACCTCTTAGGGCGAAAAGGCTGGCGCTGGGGAAGAATGCCGTCGTCGGGGACCAGCTTTACCTTCTTCAATAAGAGTTCCGATCCCGTTGTGAACAGCGTATTCATGAACATTGAGGTGAAGGTCGTGGAATGAGAGAAGGAGATGGAATAAAAAAACTGATTTTTTTTTTTTTAGATATAAACAAATAGTGGTGATATATGATGAATATTAGGGTGGTGAATCTGCTCCAGAACGGTGCGTTAGATGTTTGGTAGAATTTTGAAGGAACGTTCGATTCATAGAAATATCTGTATCTACAATTTCAGTATCATGATCTCGACGAAAACATGAGACAGGTATTGAAGGGCGGATATTCCTTTCTAACCAACAAATACTACGTGAGCGCCATCATCAGCACCTACTACACCAACAGTCTTGGCTACACACCCATTCATTTGAGCACTAAAGACTACCCTATCTACTCCGGTTTCAGTTGGGGCTTTAGGTGAGTATACCCCTATGAAAGGTCAAAGTTCATTTTAATTCGGTTCTTGGTTATTGCCCGGACTCTAGACGGAATGCTTCTCCGGTATTTCTGTAGTAAGTACTTCATGCAGTCGTTAGATATATGAAACTTTTTTTTATACATGAATATGTATAACACACACACACACACACACACACACATATATATATATATATATATATATATATATATATATATATATATATATATATATATATATTGTAAGGTATACTCCTAGCTCAAGGCCAGGTACCATCTGTACGGAGGAGCCCGAATTAAAATCTCCCGTGAGGCAGGAGAGGCTTAGGGACCAGGTGAAGATTGAAGTTAGGGGTCCCGTTCACTCCTCTTGAAATAAGATAACAACACTCCCTTTGAAGGTTTAACATTGCTGCTTATATCGTTCTTAGTGTCCTTCCACTGTAGTGATAATAGCGGTAGTAGTAGCCATAGTTGTAGTGGTAGCACGAGAAATAGCAGTAGTAGTGGTAGCACGAGCAATAGTAGTAGTAGTGGTAGCACGAGCAATAGTAGTAGTAGTGGTAGCACGAGCAATAGCAGTAGTAGTGGTAGCACGAGCAATAGCAGTAGTAGTGGTAGCACGAGCAATAGCAGTAGTAGTGGTAGCACGAGCAATAGCAGTAGTAGTGGTAGCACGAGCGATAGCAGTAGTGGTAGCACGAGCAATAGCAGTAGTGGTAGCACGAGCGGTAGGCACAGAAGCGTGGTAGAAATAGTCGGGAACAAGGGTAAAAATAGGATACCGATAGCTCAGTAAAAGTATTAAAAGTATGGTAAAGGTAGAGTAAAAGAATCAGTAAAAAGATCAGTAAAAGAGTAAAAGTAGAGTAAAAAGGCCAGTAAAAGTATAGTAAAAGCAGAGTAGTAAAAAGGATCGGTAAAAGTATAGTAAAAATATAGGTAAGAAAAGTAAATGTTCAGTAAAAATAACCGTAAATAAAAGGCAAACACTTGATACATATATACACTGTTTAAAAACTTAAGAAAGATAAAATAAAAAGCAAAAAGAACTAGTATTTAAAATGAGCATCACTGGATTTATACGTTACGTTACTTGAACTCATCTGTGTGAAATATTACGTGAAATGCCTTCAATATGCTTAACACGTCCAGCAAAAAACCTAGGCAAGTAAACGAGAGCCAGTACAACCTTTGGTGTAGATTCGCTGCGAACGAGGGGGGTGTGACACAAACAAAGTTCCAGTTGACACTGTTTATTCTTTGTGTTCCCGGGAACTCGAGAACTCGTGACGTCACAACATAATGAATCATTCTTCTTAATAAAAACAAATAAAATCAAATAAAATACATAATGTCATAGGAATGATACATACAACATAAAAATACCAAAATCAATTAAATAAAAGCCATAAAAACGTGAACTGCAAGAGTTTATGAATAAATTAAAACATACTAAAATCATAAAACAGTAAAATTAAAACTCGTGAATTTGGAAAACGTACATTAATAAAATAAGATGATAAAAGAGATCATTATTACAAGATAAAATCATTAATTAAGAAAAAATGTAAAAGCTGTGAATATTCAATTGTGCAGTGTCACGTCACGAACTGAGAAATCGTAAA